CCTTCCCGTTGAGTTGGAGCACAGAGCCTATTGGGCTGTCAAGAGCTTTAATATGAACATTGATGAAAGTGGCCTACACCGGAAGTTGCAACTTTCTGAGTTGGAGGAGATTCGCAATGAGGCCTACGAGAATTCACGAATCTACAAAGAAAAGACAAAAGCTTTCCATGACAAGATGCTTTTGAGAAAGGAATTTTCAATTGGACAAAAAGTCCTCCTCTTCCAGTCACGTCTTCGGCTATTCCCAGGTAAGTTACGTTCTCGTTGGGTTGGTCCATTTATTATCACTAATATTTTTCCTCATGGGGCGATAGAGATTCAAAGTTTACAGACTTCAAAGATATTCAAGGTTAATGGCCATCGGCTTAAACCTTACCATGAAGGGGCTCAAGTTGAATATATTGCCGACATACTTCTTGAAGATCCCAGCTATTTTGAATAATATGAACAACTAGAAGGGGAGTTTGTTCTATTATTATTTTTTTTTCTTTTTCTTTTTCTTAATCTTTATGTTACTTTTAATAACCCTTTTTCTGTGCTTTTTTGTTCAACATTGGGGACAATGTTGATAATAAGTGTGGGGGAGGGAATTTAGTTTTATTATTTGTGTGCATATGTCAAAATTTTCAAACAAAATTTTCACAAATATTTTCTTAGTATTTTATGCTAAATAAGTATTATTTTGAACAATTACAATATTTTTCTTTCTTGGAATTCATGACATGATTGAATAAATAGTTCGGCAAGTTGTGATTAGTTTGTTAGCATTTTTTGTTTGATATGTAGTGGCTATATTAAGTAAGCAATAAACATGTGAGTGTTTTGAGCCATTGACTGACACTTCGGTCTTATTTTCTTTCTATTGTGCAATTTCTTCCATAATTTTGTTTCTCTAGAACTTGCCTTGATTCTCTTTTAAAGCTAATTAGACCATGCATGATTCAAGTGTGATTAAGGCCATTATTTGATCTTGAGCCTCACTAGCCAAATAACCGGTTTGTCCTATGATTTATTTCCCCTTGTTAACCACTTTGAGCTTTATGGCCATTCTTTTCTCTTTTTTTGAGCCACATTACAAGCCTTTTATATCTAAAAATAATGCCTTCACCCAGCTGAATAACTAGTGGAGCAAATTTTGAATTATGCGTGTAATCTACATGAGGTTGTGAGGAAGAAGTGTGGGGGAGGTCACTTTCTTGTGTTAATATGATGGAGAATGAGGTGGGTTGTATCTTCATTGCCGATTTGTCACTGGTCTTCTATGAAAAAGAAAACGAAGACAATTCATGATTCCAAAAAAATAAATAAATATGGAAATTGAAAAATTGAAAAAATGAAAAAATGGAAAAATGGAGAATATATGTTTGAAAAAGAAAAATATTGCTGAAAATTTATGAGAAAATGAGAAAGAATCAGCAATTGATTTTGAGTTGAAGTTACTTCTAAATAAATGAAGTAAGGGGAAATTCTGGTAATACTGAGGAAGCATTCTATACTTGGTGTTGAGCAAGTATCTTGGATTATTTGTATTTATATGCTCCTCTAGTTTGAAAGCTTTTGTTTAAGCTACTTTCCTAAATATTCCCTACCTTAACCCTAGCCCCATTACAACCTGTGGAAAGTCCTTATGATTTGTGTCATGCATGACTCTTGTAGTGGTGATTGAGAAGATATGCAAGCCTATGGTAGAGCAATTTTATAGGAATGAACTTGAGTGAAAATTATACCCATCAAACACTTGAGTGATGAGTGATATTCCTGTGAGGGCTTACTTATTTAGTTTTCTCGATTTTCAGACAGGGGTGCTATCTTATTAATTGCAGGGTGCTTCAGATTGTTGTTCATGATATGTTATGAGTTTTGGGAATTTCATTTTATAATTTACTTCGCAAATAATATTTTTGCTTGGGGACAAGCAAATGTTTTAGTGTGGGGGAATTTGATAAGCATATTTTACACTCTTATTTTACGTACATCTTTATAATAATTTTGCATTAATTATTTAATATTATCTAATAATTAGATCTTTTTATATATAATATATAATATATAATATATTTATACATATTATTTATAATTAGTTCATGTTACGTACTAGTAAATACATATGCGTTATATATTTATATATATTATTTATAATAAGTTTCCAAACTTAAATCAACCTAGCATACATGCAAGTAATATGTTAAACCTTTACTTTATTGTTTCTCCCCCTAAGCAGCACATGTGTATGAAGCAACGAAATAAAAGGATGAAGACCAATTCTGTAGTTCGAGCGAAGCTTGTCCGAAGATTCATCATGGCGCAAACATAGGAAGTTAGTGGAAGAAAATAAATCAAGAATTGTATAAATAGTAAAAGAATTTCATTTGTTCAATGTTCATTCTTCCCCTCTCGATTATTCTGTAAAGTTGTTATCAATGTCCATTCATTGCTAATTTCTTTAGCTTGGTTTAGTGAATTGAAGCCCCGGAATTGATTATGCTGTAAGATTATTTATTTATTTTATTATATAATTTTTATGCATTTGGGTATTAAATATTCTTCTAAGTTATTTGATATAATTATTTGCTATATTAGATAATGTTGTGCTACAAATTATTCTAATATTCAGTAGCAACTGAGGTTAATTATTGACGGCTTAGTGATAATTGATTTCAGGAAGAATATTTTCCTAAATTAAATGCAACCGCTTGTGCTTGTGTTATTTAGTTTGTCGGTTTTCCTAGTTCCTATTGCTGCTATTAAATTAAATCTATAGCGCTTGTCTTAGGTTATTTAGTAGTTAGGGGTAATTAAACCGCGTGTGCTTTAGTTACCTACAACTAAGGGAAAACGGAAATGAAATAATTTCACGACAAATATTCAATTGCATATTAATTACTTTATTAATCAATGATCAGTGTTAAATTCCGGTGGTGGATCTTTACTAACCAAGGTTTCTTATTATAAGTGTTTTCGATATATTATTTTCATTGCTTTATTCGTTCAATTAAATTTCTTGTTTATTTAAATTCTATTTTATTTTATCTTTATTCTCGATATATTCCAACCCCCCTACCTTTAATTTGAGCACAAACGTTAAACTAGTTACTCCTCGTGGGATCGATCCTTACTCCCGCTACTACGTTTGTAAGGTTTTAATTTGGAAGCCTACGACAGCTCGCCAGCCGGACATTGAAAAACCTTTCTTTCCAACCGCTATGGGAGGAGGGAAGGTCCGTCACAAATTTAAGACCGTGACGGGAAGAGATGGTGACAAAGCTTTGGTTTTCAGCCAGTGCGCCAGATTCAACATTGAACAAGTAATGGAAAGGGACTGAGACGGAGGAATATCGCATTCCTTACAAATGTTTAGAAAAATGACTAGAAATTTGTACCCATTGGGCGCTAATTGAGCCGGTATGATTTTATGGGTGTTCAGAAATTCTGAGATGAACGGGTGTAGAGGAAAGCGGAGGCCGCACTTGATCGAGTTGTAGTGCACGCCTACTTCTAAGGAATTGGCATCCGCAGAGCAATGATCGACGATCGAGATTTCAGGATTCACGTTGATAATCTCAACGTTTGGCCCTAAAAGTTCTTTGGCTTTGGAAAGGTATAAAAGCGAAATTTTAGGCTTTATAGTTTGAGCCACATTTGGGTCTAGGCTATAGTAGCTAGTTTTGGCCCAGGGAAGTCCGGGCCACGCTTAAGTTTGGCGCTTCGGATTGGGCATGGGAAACAGATGATGATGGGGAACCACCTTGTAGTTGTAGTGTTGGGGAGGAAGATGCAGATTGGTTACGAAGATTTGCATTTGAGGGTGGACGAGGAGGACACATTATGATGACCCTCACTCGCTCGCTTTGAGTTAATTTAGCAAATTAAAGATCGAATTCAAGGTATATATAAGACCTTTTAGATAAGATAGTCATCAAAGCTCAGCCATTTTATATAAATGAGTGTGGGGCATGGGAGATCAAAAAATTGCCTGAATTATAATATATATTCGATCGTCATCCATTACGTTCTTAATTAACATCTATCCGTTGGAGATTAACACCGTTTTTATATAAATGTGTGTGGGGCATGGGAGATCAAAAAATCGCCTGAATTATATATATTTGATCGTCATCCATTACGTTCTTAATTAACATATATCCGTGGGAGATTAACACCGTTTTTATATAAATGTGTGTGGGGCATGGGAGATCAAACAATTGCCTGAATTATATATATTCGATCATCATTCATTACGTTCTTAATTAACATTTACCGTTGGAGATCAACGTATGATTTCTTGAAATACACATGAATTTACCATTACTTATTACGGAGGATATATTAAGCCGTTAAACAAACGATATTATTTTTCATTATTACTTATATTGCATGAATTCACCACTATTTAATATTTAACTGTGTAAGCAACAACGATATAATTTTTCAGATAAAAATAGCCACCGAAACAACGGTCAAATTCCACAAGATTACGGTTACTAACAACATAGAAAATACCTTTCTATGTAACCCTTGGATCAGATCAGAATATATCTTTCTCCAATCACGCTTATTTTCATATTCTCCCTGTATAGGAATTGATCTCTATAGTTTATTAGAAAGGGACAAGCAAGCTAGGATTTTAATTTATAGTTAAAATTCGATGTAAATGCATGCAAACACCTCTTAATTAACATTTCCTTATGTGCATGGTGTGATAATATAATCCATCATGTATCTGTAACTAAATAGGAAAAACATAAATTGTAAAATTAAGCAATGGATTGATAAGTTTAATGTGAAGAAATTAAATCAATAATTTGCCTAAACAGGAAAACTCTATTCATGTTGGAACACAATCATATGCGATCTAGCTTGAACGGAAAGAGAGAAAAGGGAATGGTAACTTGCATTGTGAACTGTCTCAACGGTTACAGAAGAAGAAGAACGACTAAATACCAAAGGGGAAGAGCGGGAAAGTTTGTTACACCGTTATGAAAGAAAAGACTAAACAATCCTCAGCCTATCTTAGCCTTGAACAAACCAGAACTGCATGCTTCTTTATTTTTCTTCTTCCAACACCCCCCGTAAGTTGGCGCATACAAATCTTGTGTGCCCAACTTAGATGTAAACAACTGAAACTGTGGTATTGGAAGAGGTTTAGTGAATCCGTCGGCCGTTTGATTCGAAGAAGAGACAGACAGAAGCTTTATGAGACCTTGGGAAACTTTTTCGCGTACGAGATGACAGTCTATCTCGATATGCTTTGTGCGTTCATGGAATACTGAATTCTCGGCTATGGCAATGGCGGATTTGTTGTCACAAAACACCGCTGCAGGCTTCTTCATTTTCATCTGCAAATCAGAGAGAAGAAAGGTGATCCATTGGACTTCGCTCACAGTTGCGGCTAAAGCCCGGTACTCGGCCTCGGAGGAAGATCTAGATACCGTCGATTGTTTCTTGCATTTCCAGGAAATTAGTGCACTGCCAAGAAACACACAAAAGCCTGTTATGGAACGACGGGATTCTGAACATATGGCCCAGTCAGAGTCGGAGAAAACGTTAAGTTGTGTGGCTTCGCCTTTTGGGTAAAAAGATGCCCTGCCCAGGGGCTCGTTTGATATATCGCAGGACATGATGCGCTGCTTGCATGTGTTTCACAGTTGGTGAATCAAAAAACTGGCTGAGCTGTTGAATGGCATATGCTATGTCTGGTCTTGTAGCCGTGAGGTATAACAATCGGCCAACAAGTCTCCTATATGAGCCAATGTTAGCAAAGGGCTCACTGTCGCCATGGCATAAATGAATACCAGGAACCATAGGAGAGGAAGCCGGCTTGCACTCAAGAAAACCGGTTTCTGTAAGAATGTCCATAGCATATTTGCACTGGCAGAGGTTCAAACCTGTGTCACTACTCCGTGCTTCAATTCCAAGAAAATAACCCAACTCGCCTAAGTCTTTTATCTTGAAAGCATTGTCAAGATACATCTTTAGGTTCTGAATCTGGGATATGTCTGGGCTGGTAAGCAGTATGTCATCAACATATATGAGGACTACTATAAAAGTAGCACCTTCGCCCTTAGTAAACAGAGAAGGATCGGACTTTGATTGCACGAACATCATCTGTAGCAGAGCAGCACTTAGCTTTGAATTCCACTGCCTACTCGCTTGTTTGAGGCCATACAAGGAGCGGCGAAGCTTGCATACCTGGTTAGGCTTCTCAAATTCAAACCCCTGTGGCAGTTTCATATAGACTTCCTCAATTAGGTCTCCGTGCAAGAAGAAGTTATTTATATCAAGTTGATGAATGTGCCAAGCACGAGATGTGGCCACTGCTAAGAAAGTCCGAATGGTCGTTATCCTTGCAACCGGTGAGAATGTTTCTATGTAATCAATTCCGAGCTGTTGATTGTAGCCTTTGCCACTAAACGAGCTTTGTATCGTTCTATGGAGCCATTGGCTTTGAGCTTAACCTTGTAAACCCATTTACAACCAATGGGGATTTTCCCGGACGGCAAGTCAAGTGATATCCCATGTCTTGTTTTCTTGCAGAGCTTTAATTTCAGTGCTCATGGCATCCCTCCAATGAGCATGTTTGACAGCCTGAGTGTATGACTTTGGCTCATCTGTAGAACTAACTGCCAAAGAGAAAATTTTATGTGATTGAGAGAGGTTGTCAAATGACATCACCTTAGACATAGCGTGGGGGGATGATCTCTTGTTTACTGCATCACAGTAGAAATCTTGGTATTTATTAGGAACCCGACGTTGTCTGTTTGAACGTCTGAGAGGTGAGGGACTTCTGCTTGCTTCTTGTAC